GACCATGCCGCAAGGAAATTGCGAGATAAGTTGGGCAAAATATTTAAGTTTAAAAGGGCCTTATTTTTGAGTGTACTTTAAAAGCGCAGGTCTTTCTATGGAGAAGGATAGAGATGCCAGCGAGCATCTTACAAATTGGGTATTGTGACTGGAAAATGTTCGGGAATACGTTATTCACGAGAAAAGGTCCAGTCTTTGTCGCGAAAAATGCCCGAAGCCAAGGCTTGTCTGTTTACATCCAAGGTTACATTCAAGTCAAGCTCCTTTCTTACCCTAAGCAGCATGTCTCTTGTAAGGCGTGGGTTGAATATAGACTGTTCCATGCCCCAGGCAACCATGCTGCAAAGCAAAATACAAAACACTTAGAAATTGCCCTGTTCACTAGAAAGCCTCTGTTTTCTAACTCTGCACTCTAACTCTGCACTATCTATACTCTGGACAGTCTGTTGGCCAGAAAGCGCATTTCCTGTCCCACCTCCCCTCCCCCTTCGTAACCCACATAATTGGTGCCCCCCTCCCCACCCATCACCCTTGTCTTGTGCCAACGCCATCTTTAATCACATTGTATAACATCTACTCCATTACCACACATGCACAAACAAACTTGTGGAGTCTGACGGTTTCGGGTTGGAGAATGGGGGATGGTGGAGTAGAGAGGGGGTCACAGGGGGTACAGGGGACCTTCTAAGGGATAAAATCTAAAATAAAGGGGAAAGGGGATTTAACATGGTGATAACTCATAATAAAAACATCTTACTTGTAAATCGGCCTGGGCATAGTGTAGTATCGCAGGTCCTTCCTCATCAACCGGTAAATGTAGTCCAAAATGTCAAGCAGATAATACTCTTCTGGGCTGCAAGTAGAGCGAAAAATAACTCCACAATTCAGAACTCAAATCATGAGAAAATGTTGAATTCCGTAAAAGATCGTCTTAAAAACCCGCTCCAACTCTCCCTTCACAAACTTGAAATTAAAATAAATATCAAAGCATTCTTTAAAGAAAAGGATATTTTACAGTTATAGAAGAAACCAACATAACCTTCATTCTTGCACAAGTATATTAAATAGATCTCGCATTTGAACAGTTCCTACTGGCTTTATAATTAATCATACAGGTTGGTGGTATAGATTTCGATCTTGAATTGCAAAGCTTATAGGTTCCAATCAGGATTTCTGAGGCCTGTGTTTGTTGTTTTTAAAGTTTTCTTTGAATTTAAAACTGTAAGCACCTCATCCTCTCCCTCAACCACACCTCGCCCCCTGCCTCAAAATTGACATAACTAATCGTGAATGCAACATAGCTGCCATTGTAAACCCCAACCCCTCTCCCCCTGCCAGTGCTAAGGACGGTGAAAAGCTACCTTACCCAGTTAGTTGAAATGTTTGTCCAATGCTCTGGTCGTTCGTAACCGCATTCACTACAGCTTGGGCTACATCCGCCACCTACCAAAATAAAACGAACAAAAGGTATTAGGCCCTAGCCATAGTAATGCTTGCTCTTTTAAAAGTATCCTTCTTCGTATCAACCAAACCGAAGCAAAATATTTTCGCCCAATTAGCGTTTTCCTTTTGTTTTCACCTGTCCACAAGAATGCTTTTTTATTCGAAAACGCATACTTTTTGATGCGTTTTCGCCTGTCGTCCACAGTAAAACGCCCGAAAACGCTGACTCTTTTTTGGCACTGTTTTAAAAGTTCCCGTTTCCATATGTCCACATAAGAAACGGAACGTTTTGAAAACGATGCCGTCTTCAGAAGACTCCACTTTTGATACCGTTTTCGAAAGTTTTTATCAGCGTTTTCGGGCGTTTTAGTGTGGACGATGGGCGAAAACGCATCAAAAAGTGTGTACTCTCCAATGAAAACGCATCAGTGTGGTCAGGACCTCAACGACGCATCGCGATGATTATCAGTATCATCATCGTTATTATCATAATCACCATCGTCATCATTACTATTATTACAATCGCCATCATCATCATCGTCATCGTCATCGTCAGCGTCATTGTCATCATCATCATTATTATTACAATCGCCATCATCATCATCATCATCGTCACCGTCATTGTCATTGTCATCACCATCACGATCACCATCATCATCACCGTCGTTGTTGTTGTCGTCGTTGTCATCGTCATCGTCTTTGTCATCATTGTAATCAAGATTAACAAGATTAAATTTTCCTTGATCTGTGAGTCAAAGATATCTCCAGCCAGCCCTCCCAGTCAGTCCATAAAACTCAAATACTCACATAAACAGGCATTTTGGTCGTGTTCATGCCTCCATCAATGAGTGGAATGCCCATTGGAAATCTCCCGAGATCTGAAAACACATCGGGAGAATACTC